AAGAGGAATTGAAGTACTCCAAAGTCAATAAATCCTGCTGGAAGACTAATTGAAATTTTTGTCCCCACATGGAACAATAATATGTGAGGGAAAATCTCAATTAAATAGTAAACCTCAATAATCTGTGTGGGAAAATCTCAATTGAATATGGATATGGATAAACGACGAAGCTTTTTTGAAAAAAAGAAAAAAATGGTTATATAAGAGAGAAAAGGACCATAGCCTCCTTTCTTATCCACGATATAAGACGGATCAAAACCCTCTATCGCTTTCCCTCTTTCCCCTAAACCCAAAGTCCCAAACCCTTAAACTTTGGCGGCTGCTTCTCTACTCTCTCAAAAGAAAGATCTTTCCATTCAGAGTCATGGCCGCCGTTGCTCCACCGGCTGATCGTATCCTGTTTAGTTTTTACTACTTTTATGCTCTATTGCACTCCCCTTTCTAGCTTTGATGCGACAATTGAATTTGCGTTTTATTGTCTGTCTGCATACATTTATGTAAGGTTCATTTAGTTTTCTGCAGATCTAAACTTTTTGCGAGATTTGGGATCTATGGATTCTTGGTCAGCTGTTTATTTTTTGTGGAGATATGATTTTTTATTTTTATTTTGAGAATTTGCTACTAGGCATATAGCTATATAAATTTTACACACTTTGTTTTTTCCGGGACTGCTGAATTATTTTGTTATCCCTGTCATAGCTACTGCTTGTTTATGCTATCTGGCAGATGAATTTTCTCGCTTTGTAGTTAGTTTCCATTAATTCTTCTGACAGCCCTTTCTTAAAGGGTTTTATTACTTCTATTTTAATTCCTGGTTTTCGATTTGAATTCTGTAGTTGAGCTGTGAATTCTTATAGCAGATAAGTAGCCGGGAATGCTTTTTCTTTGATTTTTAACGTGGATTTTATGGTTGTTAATTGTTATTATTACTGCATACGAGTTGGCAATATAAATCACTTCTGGGATTTGAAAAGATGCGTTCCTTTACACTTACTCTTCTATAGAAGCTGCAGATTTGCTGCAGAAGTTGTCTTTGGGCACTCAGACGAAGGCTATTGAAATTCCGGAGAATACCAAAAATGTTAATATCCCTTCATCGTGTAGATTATTATTCCTAGATAACATTTCATCTAAGGATCTTTTCAAAGACATGCCTTTGTAATCTTCAATTTTGACGTTGCATGCAGTCTTCTGTAGATTCTGTTACCAACATTCAGAGTCAGTTAGGTGATCGGTCAGTGACACCCACGTTGCCAGATTTTATGGATCAGACTATGTGTTACCTCCGAAATGGTTACCCTTCAAATGCATATTATTATGGGGGTAAGATTGTCCTTTAGAATATTTAAAATCCATATTATAGTTTTTCCCTAGCCTTTTGAATCGGGAATTGAATTGGAATTTCATTTTCGATTTTGTTTGCTTTGTGATTCTCTTTCTACTTGACCTTAATTGTCTCTATGTTTGCAGCTTATGATGGTAACGGTACTGAATGGGAGGACTACACTGGATACATGAATCTGGATGGAGTAGAGATGGCCCCGGTAAGTCCTTTTGACCATCTCTCTCTCTCTTTTTTTTTTTTTTGATATGTTGATTTGTAAACGTCAGTTATAATAGAATAATGGACTTGTGTATCTGATGCACACAGATTAAACTGACCTTCTGGATAACCGTGTTTGATTATTAGCCACTTGACCATTCATGCTTGAAACTTCGGATGACGTTTCTTTTGTGCTTTAACTAAAATGTATAGGGAGTTTATGGGGACATTGGATCGCTCGTGTATCACCACGGCTATGGTTATGCGCCTTATGGACCATATTTGCCTGCTACTTCGCCTGTTCCAACTGTGGGGCATGATGGCCAGCTTTGTGGAGCTCAACACTACCATTACCCTACTCCCTACTTCCAGTCTATGACACCAACAAATGGACACTCTACTCCAGCCGCCCCTGTCAAAGGTGAGATATCAACCTCTGCAGCTGCTGATCAAGTGCCTTTGTCAGTGGACTCTGCTAATGCAAAATCTAATGGCATTGCAAATAGCAGCATCGTAAAGGGAAATAATGGTTCAACAACTGCAAGACCAACTTACCAAAGTTCATCGTTTAATGCCACTGGCTCTTATGGAAGGGGTGTCTTTTCTGGAGGGATTCCCGCTTCTGGTTATCGGGACCCAAGATTTGGAATTGATGGTTTTCTGTCACTGGTTCCATGGTTAGATAGCCCGTATTTTTCAGATGGACAGCCAAGGGCGGTGACTAGTTCTTCCATGACTTCATCCATTTCCAATGTAAATGGCAATTCCTTCTCGAGGAATCAGAATTACCGCCCTCACCTAATGGTATTTATATCATACTCAACTTTGATTTGATGTTGTATAGTTTGCTGAAAAAAATTGCTCCTCCACCGATCCAATGCTGCATCTGTTATTACATTTTCATGTGAAAAAATGCTGCTAACATTATGCAACACGGATCTTCATGCACACTCTTGCACATGTTTCTGTTTTGAATCTAACCCAAGGTTATAGCTATTGAATGAACAACTGCAGTTTAAATTTCCGTTGTTTCATCCCAGGGTTTGCATCATCCAAGGCCTATGTCACATATGAATACAACTAATGGTTATGCTGATAGAATGTATCCAAACAAAGTGTATAGTCAGTATGACAATGCTTATAGATCTGGTCTAGCGTATGGATCTAATGGATATGATTCACGAACAAATTATTGCAGCTGGATGGCTGTTGATGGCAAAAACAAACCCAGGGGAAGAGGAAACGGGTTCTACAATTACAGTAATGAGAGTGTTGATGGTTTAAATGAGTTGAACAGGGGACCAAGAGGCAAAAGCTCCAAGAATCAGAAAGGTTTTACACCAGTGGCTCTGGTCTTTAGAGGGCAAAACATCCCATCTAATGGAGCAGCAGAGAGCGAGAAAGAGAAAAGTGCAACTCGGGATCATGAGCAATACAACCAACTGGATTTCCCTGATAATTATAGTGATGCAAAATTTTACATTATGAAGTCATACAGCGAGGACGATGTCCACAAGAGCATCAAATATAATACATGGGCAAGCACACCTAATGGTAACAAGAAGCTGGATATAGCTTATGAGGATGCTCAGCAAAAGTCTGTAGACTGCCCTGTTTTCCTTTTCTTCTCAGTAAGTTTCTGGATTTTACCTGTTGTAGCCTGCTCGATCTCATTATGTTTTACTTATTTTTTTGTATATTTTTTTGTTGTATCTTTATTTCTAGGTGAATACCAGTGGGCAATTTGTTGGTGTAGCAGAGATGACGGGGCCTGTTGATTTTGACAAGAATGTTGAGTACTGGCAGCAGGACAAGTGGATAGGTTGTTTCCCTGTCAAGTGGCACATTGTGAAGGATGTACCCAACAGCTTGTTGAAGCACATCATCCTAGAAAACAATGAGAACAAACCCGTAACTAATAGTAGGGACACACAAGAGGTACACTACTGTCATTTTTTGTCAACATTGATAAGCCACTCTTATGATCCTTTTCTTGGTTTTACAGGAGGGACTACTTGGATGATCCCTTTTCCATTTACTTACTAAACAACAAAAATCTCTTTTTATAGGTTAAACTGGACCAGGGTCTTGAGATGCTCAAAATATTCAAAGATCATGCCAGCAAACAAAGTGTCTTGGATGATTTTGATTTCTATGAGGATCGGCAGAAAAGAATTCAGGATAAGAAAGCCAAGCAACAACAATTTCTGAAGCAGGTACTATCTAAATAAACATAACGAAAATGATTTGGTTTTTTACCTAGTTGATTTAAGGGATTTTCGGGCCATCGTCATGGTTCTTTTCTTCAACTACTGTTTTTATTTTTTATTTATTTTTGCTTGGTACATTCTTCTTGATTCTTTACAGTGACATGTTTTGTCTGCTTTTATAAACAGACAAAGCAATGGGAAGGAAAACCCAGTGAAGAGAAGAGCAAAGAAGGTAAAAATGAGGTTCTTAAATCTCAGAAGTCATTAGAAGTTGCCTCGGATTTGATGAAGGAAGATACACCAGCTGTTGTTTCTAATGGGGATAGCAAGCCTTCAGAAAATGGTTATTTATCTACATCTGGAGAGCTGCCGAAGTATTTGAAACCTGTTGCATTTCCAAAGGAGAAGATTATGACTAATGGGGTTGCAAATGGTTGCTAGCTTCTTACATGCACAGGAATGATCCATGTTGGAATGGTTACGATGAAAATATTAAGTTCAGATTGGATTTTCCTGGTGCATGATCAATGTTCTTGAGCAATGGCCCATCCTGTTCAGTATGTCTTGCTGCATGAGAGATTTGTTGACTAGCAACTGGGAGCTCTCAGAATTCACTCTCAAAGGGCGACAAGGCTTTGAGAAATTTCTCTATAAGATGGAAAGCTTGAAGCCCCAGGCTGGCTGCTAAATTTAGGGTTTTCATGTCCCTATAGAGTTTGGGTTTAGGGCTTTTTTGCTTTTCATTTTAATTTTCTTTTGTGCCTTTTTCCGTTTTTGGATGTAAGTTTCTGCATCTTGTTTTCTCCTGCTGGGAAATGACTCCTTGTTCTACAAGTTGGATGTCAACCTATCTAGTAAATCTAGATCTACTTTTTTTCCTGTAAAGAGCTAGAAACTAGGTGGGGGAAGCATTGCACTGCAATATATATATAGGTGAAAGAATGTGCATCTCGTTCTTTTTATATCGCTTTATCTAAAACATAAATAAAGTAATAGCAAAAAATCTCATTGGAAAAAATACTGATTACTATTTTAATAGATGAACTTGTGTATCTCTAATTTCAAATGGTAGATATTGTAAAGGAAATAGTGTAAAAGCGTTTTCAATAGGCTTTATGTTAGCCTCATGATAAGTGCATTTTATACACTTATTTGGACTCCAAATTATGACGTTTTGTTGTTCTTTTAATGAGATTATGGCCTAATTTATGATATAATGTGTTATTAGGTGAAACTCAATGGATGATGAAGAATTGAAGAAACGAATGCAAAATTCGCAAAAAAGAGGCAAGATCCAAAGTTTGGGCCCTGA